CTTGTATTTTTCCTTTTAAATATTCAATGTCGTGTCTATATAACAAGAAATAGCTAATTAATCACCTCTAACGCGCTCATGGAGAGGTATAAGGCAGGCTCACTCAAATAGCAAAATAAATAAAATACAACTATCTTTTCCCCTATGGAGACAACCGTAGGGATATTTGCACACCCGGGTAGGGTCAAACAGCGACTTTTTGGCGCAGACGTGGGGACTTTCCGTTTCGGCCATCTGAAAACACTGCCAAAGTATAGGCGCCGGCAGTCATTCGTGCTACCGAAAACAATGCTGCGTACACCGCGAGCGATGGGCCGCCGGATCGGCGCCGTGTAGTCGCTCGCGTCTTACGAGTCTTGTTTGCGAAGAGGGCCTAGTGAAACGAACGAGCGGTGTGTGCGACTGCGTGCGGATGCAAAGGCATTCCTGAAGCTGGAAGGCTTTCTTTTATATGCTTGCACTCCATAACATAGAAACATAAACTCCGGTTTACTGTCGACTCTTGCCAGACACTTGAAGAACCCACCCTCTCTCCGACACAAGTGCCTTCTCTCTGGCTTGTAGCCTTGTACACACCTTATGCTTTCACCTGCATGCCCTTCTGCTTCGGAATCTCTGCTGCTCTTGGGCTTGGACACAAACAAATTGTAAGAAAATGTGCTTTGACGTTTTGCCCAGTTAGAAGACACGACACGCGTCCCTTGGCTTGAGGCTGCGACACCTGCTTCTCTCTGTCACCTGTATCAGCAGAAGCACGGAAGCGTACTGTATTACCTGGCACGAAATGTATCTGCAACGGCAGGGCGCCTAGCCAAAATAACTGGAGTTCAATATTTTCCAAGCTTCCCGCCTCTAAAGAAAATATAAAAGTAACTTTAAAATGAGTACAAGTTACTTTAAAAAAGTATTCAAGTTAGACTACTAAATACTGACGTTCGAAAGTACTTGCAAGATACCAAGTTACTCACAAAATTATTTAAGATACAGTAACTTGAGTAGAGTATTTAAGTTGCGTACAAGTCTGGGATAATAAAAATAATAATAATAAGTTTATTTCCATCGAACGTTGATGGTGACGATCAAGGAAAAAAGCTGTATGGCACAGCTTGACAAGTCTTTGACCGCCTACAAGGCACAATAGCAGCAACTCAAAAAAAAAAAAAAAAAGATTCACAAATTTTCAAATTTTGATTACCGCAATTAAAACAAAGCGTGCTTTAGAATATATTTTCTATCATCGGCTATAACAGAAAAGTGACCTATTTGCAGACATAAGTTATAAGACCCCAAAAATTTGGTTCATACTCAGATTTATTTGTGGAGAAAATTAGTCAAATTTCTCTAAGAGACAATGCACTGAATTCAAATCCTTCATCTTCAAGTGAGTTAAGCATTTTAGGGATAGTATGTTTCAGCATTTGTGTGCCACGGTTCGTTCTTGCAGTGACCACCTCCCAACATTCTGCACGACGGGTGGGATACGGGTAAATATTCGAGCCCATACGACCGCAGCGCCGCCGCGTACATCCGGGATTTTTCCGCGTCGGCGCCTGATCCCACTACCCCTTTCTACAGGGTGACCCCCCCCCACCTATCGCGCTACGACTTTGTGCAGCATTTCCCACAGATGGTGCTTTTTTTTTTTTTTTAATTTGCAAAGAGCGAACTTACATGAGGAAAAAGTAAAGAAAGAAAAAGGATTAGCTCCCATGGAAACGCAGCGACGCCACCGGTCTTCAAACAACACGGCGCCGTTCCGCACGGGAGACAAGAGATGGCGCAACGAACGCCGCCAACGAACGAGCATACGGCGCCGAGAGCCGGCGTCTTTAGCAGACGGTCTTTTCGACTCAAAAGCGGCACGCGTTCCGCAGGCGGCGACAGTCACAGAAACAAAAACAGGCGCGGGAACAATAAGGAACTGCAGTTCCTTGTCTGCTAAAGACGCCGGCTCTCGGCGTCGTATGCTCGTTCGTTGGGGGCAGTTGGCGTCGCGACCGCTTGCGCCATCTCTTGTCTCCCGTGCGAAACGGCGCCGTGTTGTTTGAAGACCGGTGGCTTCGCTGCGTTTCCATAGGAGCTAAGCCTTTTTCTTTCTTCACTTTTTCCTCAGGTAAGTTCGCTCTTTCCTAATTTTACAAAAAGAAAAAGAGCACCATCTGTGGGCAGCGCTGCACAAAGTCGTAGCGCGATAGGTTAAGAAACCGAATTTTGCAGTCGATTTGAAGAGCCTTGCCTCTCCTTGAATCACCCAGTAGTATGCGCCGCCTTTTCCACCGCTTAGTGGAGGGTACGTCGCGGGTCATTTCTTGTGTCCGTGCTTTATAAACTTCTTTGTTTCTTTTCTGATTTAAAATGCTGAACAAAATCAACTTTTATAAATAACTGAAAAGGTTCGCGCCACTTATATTTTGTATTTCGACAAAAGAAAAAAAAAAGCTTTTAGCGGCTTTGACCAGTAGTAAGGCTAAGACCAAAAATCGCGCGCTTTCGGCACCACGGGTCGGCCCCGGAGGTGGAGGTTTCCGCGTCGTCCGGTTAAAATATATGACGCACTGAAATTTAGGTACTCTCTCTGTGCCCGCTGACTTGCCCGAACCCCAAGAGATGTGGAACCCGCAAAGAAGGTAGACACTTAAATATGATTGCAGGGCTCCCTTAAAGGGGCACTAAAGTCCTTTTTAAAAACGGTAGTTTTTGATCTTATATTATTTAAAATGTGTTAGTTCCACATGTACCAAGTCCTATATTACAAAACCGCTTATTCATCTTAGGGCAAGAGAAAAACATGTGGACTCTTTTTTTCTCGCGGGCTACATTGTGTGGACCAATCAAAGCCGTACAATACATGACGCCCGCACGGCCCGCGCTGCTCGTTTAAACCGATGCTATCGACGCTACAATAGAGAGTTTTAGTAGGTCGTGTTTTCAGGCCACGCTAATCGTAGCGGAAGCTCGGGCTGCCACTTCGATGCATGCTCTGAAGCGCGCGCTCGTAGCGATAGCGGGCCTTTGAAAACGGTCTACTAAAACTCCCTAATAAGAGCGCGCTCAGCAAACACGTGGCATCCGTTCTGATTCCTAGCTGATAGTACAGTGTCACTTTCTCCTCGAGATTCGATCGGCACGGCTCATGTGGTGAAAAGCAGGGCTACGCTTTGTTCTTAAGGAGTATTCACTGGGCGCCATATTTGTGGGTGATGTCTAGAGCGCATGCTCTGAACGAGCTCACATTATTAGGCTGCTAAGACCGGCAATCTTGAGGGTGCGGAATGCACGTTACAAAAAAACTGTGGAAGCTCGCCATCAGCACGCGCTCAGCAGTCGTGCACACAGCTATGGCCGCCAGTGAATACTTCCTATACGGACGCGAGGCCGAAGCCATGGGAGGCGCCAACGCAGCGCTCGCGCACTGGAATCATCTGCTCAGAGCTCGTGCTCTGCACCCTTGCCCGTGTTCTGTGCCGTCAGTGTGGATGCTTTGTGTTCCCGTGTTGTGGACAGAGGGAATCACCACGTGCCTCATAGAGAACCACGGATAAACGAGAGCGCGTTTTTTTCTAAATTCAAAGAGGGCCTCGAGGCGACGAGTGACATGACCAGAATCACCATTCTTAGCAACCTGTTCTATGTCTGTGTAACTATGTTAAAATTCCTTTGAGCTGTCGTGTTCGCATGCTCATACATATAGTGCCCCGCGTCATAACTATTGCGTAGTGTCAACACAAGTTTTTCGAGTCCCATTAGTCTTCATAAGTTAAACTTCCCCTGCATTTTTATTCATATGCCCCGGTGTGGTTTCTGGTGGCGCAGTTAATAAGGCGAAAGCCTTGTATGTCTCATCGTTCAGTCGACCTTCAAAGTCCTTGGGCGAAGAACACGTCGGCGACACGAAAAGTACCAAAACGTTTACGTTATAACTAAGGCGAATTATAGGCAATATAATTAAGAAGGATGACATAGCGAAATGATAGGAATCAATATGAATTCCTAGACATCGTCCTCTAGGCTTCGTTCTCGATGTCGTCCTAGACGTTGTCCTTTAGGCGTCGTTCTTCAAGTAGTCCTTAAGGTCGTCGTACAAGTCGTCCTAGCCGTCGTCCTCGACGTCGTCATAGGCGTCGTACTTGACTGGCTTTCGCTTTCATACATGGAAGCACTCTTAAGTGTACTCGTGTATTTTTTCATAATGCCATAATTAACTCAACATTGAAATTAAAATTCAAAATGTATTTATTAAACCACTTGATAATTTTTAAACTCTAACTTTATTATTTTTTTTTTTTGTAATTAAACCCCTTTCTAGATGGGAAAAGACAAGCGCCGAAAGACTAGGACAAAGTAAGGAAACGACGACACAAGGCGCACTCGCAACTTAAGTTTCATTTCTGAAAAAAAAAAAAAAACAGTCTCATATACACTTTAAAACACCCCACGTCACTTTCCACGTGCCCACTCTTTATCTAAGAATAAATACTCTTTATCTGACGGAGTCATGGAAGGTTCGCTTATGCACTTATCTGCACCTTTCTCCTTTATTGCATACGCCTCATGAATTTCCCTTGTAATCTTTTTGCTGTATCGCACCAGGATTGCCATGTCATTGAAAACTGGTGTGCACTCCCATCGGTTGCAATGCACAGCCAGGTGCCCATATGGTGACTGTTTTAAGGAAGCAGAGTGCTCTCTTGCGCGATCATTTACACAACGCCCAGTTTGGCCTACGTAAGACCCACCGCAGGAAAGCGGAATGTCATACACAACACCGGTCTCACATTCCACGAACTTATTTTTTCTTACACCCGTCACTCTTCCCTTCAGGATCATTGATTTTCCTGCATAACGGAGAGAGCTTTTTAGGGGCTGAAAAGACGACAGGAACGTCGTTACGTTCCGCTACCTTTTTAAGTAGCGGAACGTTACGACGTTCCTGTCGTCTTTTCAGCCCCTAAAAAGCTCTCTGCGTTATGCAGGAAAATCAATCTGGTCTTTTCCCATAATGAACCAACTGGCCCAACTCACCATTTTGTTGCCTCTCTAGATTTATTGATGTAGTTCCTTTTTATTTTGATTTACTTATTTATGCTTCGACCCTCCAGAGCGCGAGGATCTCAAATCCTGTTCCTGGGTCAAAACGTTTGGAAAACCCCTGGTTGAGACAAATATGAGCGCTAATGGCAGTGAGAGAAAGTGAAACTGATGGATGAACCATGCGATCAATATCCTGTTAGAGATCGAAACGCTTCGATCTGTTTTGTTGGTCAACGCAAGACGGACGACCGTTCAAAGGGAGGCGTAGTATTCTTGACGAGCAACCAACTGCGGCCGAAGATCACCCAAGGTGCGGCTCCCTGTAAAGTTAATCAATACATCAATCAATCAATCAATTATGCAATCGAATTTCTGTAGACCCAAGCAGCATACGCTGCACGAGTACGGGTACTGGGCAAAGCGGCAAAGCTGCTGCACACACTCATTCGTGGGCTAGAAACACATGCAAAAAATGAAAGCCGTTAACAACTCCCTGTAACGCCGAATGAGAGCGCAGCTCTTGAGGAGGAGGAGGGAAGGGTACTGAGGGTCACGTGTTCTCAGAAGAGGGGGGGGGGGGGTTAACGTGGCCTTGGTGGGGTCACGTGACCTGAGGAGTATCGCGTGACCTCGGGGGGGGGGGGGGGGGGGGGGTCACGTGACCCCCCGAGAAATTTTTTTACTAGATTTAGCGGGGAAAATTTGCCGCTAGATTTAGCAAGGAAATTTTCTTGCTAAGTTTAGCGGGGTAAAATTTTCCGCTAGATTTAGCGGGAAAATTTCTCCTTTAGATTTAGCGGGGAAATTTTTCAGCTAGATTTAGCGGGGAAATTTTTCCGCTAGATTTAGCGGAGAAATTTTTCCGCTAGATCTAGCGGGGAAATTTTTCGCTAGATTTAGCGTAGAAACTTTCCCGCTAGATTTAGCGGGGAAGTTTCTCCGCTAGATCTAGCGGGGAAATTTCTTCTTTAGATTTAGCGGGGAAATGTTTCAGCTAGATTTAGCGGGGAAATTTTTCCGCTAGATTTAGCGGGAAAATTTTTCCAGTAGATTTAGCGGGGAAATTTTTCCGCTAAATTTAGCGGGGAAATTTACCCATAATGCGCCGCGCGTTTACGCCGACGGCGACGTCGAAGCCGACGGCGACGCCGCTCAAGCCGGAAACGGGCGCCTATGAGCTGCGCTCTAAAACAAACACTGTGTGTTCCAATAGACCTTCACGCCGATTTCATGATGCACAGTGCTTCGCGCACCAGTGTGCCCGGCCTAATTGTTCAAAATAAAGCGTTGGAGGGGTCATCTGACTTCGTAAATCCCCAGAAAGTGGGGGTGCACTCCTTGAAAACGTCACCATACATACTTGAAAATAACCTTCGGAAGTGTAATAGAAACAGCCACTTTGAGGATTATGAAATCTGTCCTTGAAGTTATTTCTCCAAGCGTTGACTTTACTACGAAACTTGGGAACAGAGAGACATAATCCTCCACGGCATGTTGCAAATACGTGAATCCATATCACAGTTCTCCCTCCAGCTCTATAGAGCTGGAGGGAGAACTGTGAAGGAGGGAGAACTTCCTCTGGAGGGAGAATTAACTTCCTCCTAGATACCCACGCACACGTAGAGAGGGCACGAAGAATAACTTTTTCGAGGTTAGCCGTGTATTTCTGTTGCGATTGAAAACGAAATACCGCATTTCTATACTGAGCACACCAGCCCCCTATATGCTGAGTTCGACATTTCGCTTTTCTTGAGCACATGGGCAGTATCAAATGCATTTCACAACGTTTTTTTCTCAGATCTTTAACATTCCGCACTAATATATAGGGGGTATTTACTGGACGCCATATTTGAGGGCGATGTTTAGAGTGCGTGCTCAGAACGAGGTCACATTAATAGGGTGCTAAAAACGACAATCTTCATGGTGCGGGATGCAAGTGGAAAAACATTACGGTGATTACGGTGACTGTATAGACCTTTGTAGCTGCAGTCTCGAGCGAAGCGATTTGCAGCGCGCGCGCCTCCCTGTTTTGAATTTTGGATTTGGATTTTGAGCTCAACCCCTTTGTATCGGGGGATCTCAGCAGCGCTAGATCTAGCCATACTAGTAGCTACACTAGCCAATCTCGTAGTCGTGTTCTCTTGTCCTCCTCCACCAGCACTCCAATCTCCTCTTCGTTACCTCCACTGGTTGCCGACTATCGGCGGCGTAATGTTTTTTTCAGTGTGCACGTCAGTGTTGCCCGACTGCGCTAAGCTGTGAATTTCCCCGTCAATGTGCTGTGGTAGCCCTGCATATGCATGATTCCGGACACCGGTGGCGGCTAAATTGCTGCGTTTTATTGTCTCTTTTGCGTTTCATGGCGATTAGAGTCTCTCGATGCCTTTCTAAGAAAGCATTCTACCATTTTTCGAGGACAGAAACAAACACATGAAAGCTGTTCTTGGTGGGTGCACGAGGGACGGAACAAATGTAACTGGAATGTTTGTTTTCTTTTATGTAGATTTTTTTACCGCGCCTTACACTCAGCCGCGTCAATCTCCAAAGGCATTCAACTGTCGAAACTACTTGACCACACAAGATAGCTGAAAGGCATGGGTGTTTCCCGCTCTAACTTTAACAAGTCTAGTCAATCGAACAACATATTGAACGTACCCCACGGTGCAGCGCTACCCGAACACGATTTACATGAGTCTCAAATAACACAACATATCCATTCTACAGTGTCGACGACAGTTCACGACGATCGGACGGAACCCGAACTTGTTTTAAGGTACGCTTTGAGGAAGCTTATTTTTGGCATTGCACCAAAGTAAGCTATTTTCGCGAAGGCTTTCCGGAGATTATCTCAGCGGCGTTAATCCTCGAGGAACGCCGAATAACCCACATCGCAGGCCATTCGACGTTCGCTCTCTTCATTCGTTTTCCGGAAAGGCCGAGCAGGCTACGAGTACAGTGCTACGGAATCGCTCACCCAGAAGCGCCATTGCTCTGTCGATCTCTTCCCTGAATATCTCCAGCATTTTCTCAACGCCCTGCTGACCCTGCAAAAAAAAAAAAAGATGAAAAAAACACGTCATGAAGGGACGTTTATTAATTTTGAAATCGTCAAAATAGCGCTTTTTTTTTATTGCTAAACACTCAAAAGAGATTTCCTATACTTCTAAAAAAAAAAAAATAGACGTCTTAATGGAGCATTTAGTTTCCGGGGTTTATCTCTATGTTATACAGGCACTACTTCAGTACATCACATTTTCTGAAAACAGGACTCGGACACGCAAACAGCACCGCACAACAGTACAAGTGAAGCGGTATGAATTACATGAAATGTTTACTTTCTTGCATAAGCCCTTACATAGCATGTGCCACACGTCCTTAAAAAGGCAGCAACGCCATGCACCCTGCGTCTACATTCCAATCAAGGCGGCACTGGTTTCATGCAAAATTTGAGCATCAATAGTAACAATAATGGCCGAATGCTCGATCGATTTCGTGCTTATTTTTCTTCATCAATTGAGTCAAATAATATTCGTTATTGACGTATTAACGCCTTCTAGCTAATAGCGAAAATCACAAGCACTGTAACAGGCTTGAGGTGAGCTAGTTGGTTTACACTATAGGTAAGGTCAGCTGAACCAGAAAAAACATACACATAAAGAAAAGACCATTCACACAGCATCACACCTGATTAGTCATAAGCCTACCACATGAGGAACAGGAAGTTAATGTAGTACTCATCTACACTCTAAAAGAAAAAAAAAGAATATGGAGAAGCTATATTTTCGGAACTTACTTGGGAGAGCCAAGTACGTTGCAGGAGAGTATGTCTACACTCTAGAAACAGGCCGTGCGTCCGCTTTCCCGCACAACACTCGGAGAGCCAATCACCGCAACTTACAAAGGCAGCTCAGCGAATGACGATGCCAAAACATATTTTTAGACCAAAAAACGCAGTCTGAGTTGTGACATTAAGCAATGCAAAACGTCAAGCTTGCATTGCTCAATGTCACAACTCAGACTGCGTTTTTTTTTTTTGGTCTAAATATATGTTTCGGCATCGTCATTCGCTGAGCTGCCTCAGTAAGTTGCGGTAATTGGCTCTCCGAGTGTGTGCGAAAAAGCAGACGCACAGCCTACTTTTAGAGTGTGTACTTCGTTTCAGCCCAAGTACAGAAGCAGCCGACGCTACGACCTGATGGAACCAATCAAGCTACGTCAAAAGTGAAAGTCACCGGATCGTTTCTGTTGATGGTTGGTTTAGCGATGACAGAACACGTACAAAAACACGACCAACATCATGACAGTACGCTTTTGACGATGTCTGATTGGTCCCATGAGCTCATAGCGTCGGCTAGCATGTGGAATTAAGGTGAAACGAAGTATAAACATGTTGAATCTAACATATTATCATCCTCGTTATTCGCCCAGCAGCCTCCGTAGATTACAACGATTGGTTCTTCCAACTGCTTTGACGAAGGGTACTATCGCCCCAGGGTTCCTAGACTGCCTTACCTAACACGAATGCTAAGAGCTGTTTAAGGGCACAGTAAACAGACAAATGCATGCACATTAACTGCTAACACAAACAAACATTCGAAACCTAAATTCGAAAATCGAGAAAGCCTAATTTATCGCATTTTCCTAATCGTGGGGTATGCTGGCTTTGACAGGAGGCCAGTATCATCCTATGCTGAAGCAGCTCTCTCCTACATTACTGCAAGCGGGGCATGACGCCACCATGTTTCTGCTATTACAATGGGCAAGCAGGTGCAACCGGCAAGCCAGCCAAAGCCAAGCTCACGCACACGCTGCAATCGAGCTCGCACAGAAGTCGAGGCGCCATGTTCGCAGTTGTCTATAAGCTTCACTTACACTGGGCTCCAACCCGACATTAAAGCAAGGACATGCATTGCTAACTATAGACGAGGTCTACAAGCGCGAGCTTCTTGTTCTTGGAGTATTCGTTCAGTAGGTGCACCTCCAAAGGTACTACTGCCTGAAGTACATGCATCTTTGGTGCAGCCCACGTCAAGAAGATATGTACGCCTACCTTGTATGCCAGTCCCCAGAGGGCAGGACGACCCACGAAGACCATCTTTGCTCCTAGAGCTAGTGCCTTGACGACGTCTGTACCCTGACGGACGCCGCCGTCTAAATACACCTCGATGCGCCCATAGACGGCGCGCATAATCTTCGGCAAGACCTCTATCTGCAGAAAAATGAATCCACGATCACTTTATCATTACAAAACAATATTCATTGCCAATCGTAAGTAAATCATTTGCCGGGAAAGTTAACGCTCCTGATTAGGGATGGTTGGTCAATCCCCACCCGTGGCCATTTCGACTTGGATAAACATTGTACCGGCATGTGTACGTGTAATCACTACTGCGTGCTGCACGTTAAAGGCCTCAGGCTAGCAATGGTACTGCAATGGCTAAATTTATCATCTACAGCGGAGACATTACAGACGCCCGTCAGGGCTAACTTCCATCTGTCTAAACATTCACGCAACAAAATTACTTTCATCTGCGAGGAAATATAACTTTGTGTTCAAGGTACTGACCGATCATGTGAGACGCCCAGCGTATGACTGGATAAGATGAACCGCCCGTCTTTAAGGCGAATGATACTTTAGGGATTCCAAAATTTAAAAACAAACCGTGTACAATTATTTTTTTTTAATACGTTAGCATTTCAATGCTTGTTTTGACGAAAACCCGGCGGTGTCTTTTTGTTCTTCAGCGCCGGGGAGAAGGAGGGGGAGAGGGTGACCCGAAGTGCTGACTTCAGCATGCGTAAACCTCTCCGTCTCTCCCCGGCGCTGACAAACTGACAGACGCCACCGGGTTTTCGTCAAAACAAGCACTTTCGTTTTCTTTCAAGTCACGCGCACAGCTGGCACGGAGGTAGAGAGGAGGAGGCCCCTTGCAAAACTTCCAAGTTAACAAACCCGTAGTGCTGAATGAGATGGCTTCATCAGAGAAGGCCAACGCTAGAGAGAGATTGTGCTGCGTCAGCGCTCGGCTTCGAGTCAAGTTTGAGCCGAACGTTGACGCAATCGTCGTGTCCAATCTGTGTCCAGCGTTGGCCTTCTCGGATGACGACATCTCATTCAGCACTAGTAAAGTCCGGAGATAAGAGCTTCCTACAAGTAGCGACATTCTTTGAAGCTCCGACTGCGTGACTGAGCAGGTTTTAGGAAACGAATACCGGCGCACAGCAAAGGTTTGAACTGAATGCCGCCATTTTGTTCCGGCAGAATCTGCCTTGTCATTTGTATTGGTTGTCGTTACTTGTAAAAGAAGTATCAAGGGACTTTATGCACTAGGGGTTTGTTATCTAGGAGGTGTTGCGCCACGGCGCGGTGGAATGCTGGCGTGCTCAGTTGCCGCTCTGCCATCGCCGGTTGTTCTTCGCTCTGGGTTTCCGTAGTTGCGGTGCGTGGGCTGTGATGTGTGTGTGTGTGTAGTTAAAACGATGGATGTGGTTCTTTCCTCGAGTGACATCGGTGACCGTATCCAAGGGCGTCGACGTACTCTGACAGGCAGAGTACTGAAGTCGAGTGAAAAAACAAATTACAGGAAGATCCCTTAGTGGATTTTTAGGGAATTCGTTGGAATGATCCTTGGGAAACGCCACACACGTGTCCCCCTTTGGGAAACGCTAACACTGACCCCGTAACTAGGCCAAAAAGAGGCAGCAAAATATAGTGGAATCAAAAGAGAAAGCAAAAAGAGAAAAGCGAAGGGTCAGCATTTTCTAAAAGGGGACAAGTGCGTCGTTTCCAAGGGTTATGCCAACGCATTCCCTAAGAATCAACAAATGAATCTTCCTGTAACTTGTTTTTTCAGGGACTTCGTACAGATATACGTCACGATAAAATTTTTATCATGCCGGGTTGAACATTTTCTGTAGTGATTTTCGTTTCTACCGTGATCGTAACGGTATATAGTTCATCATCAAATAGAAAAAATCATATCTTTAATAAAATTTTCAAGGCCAATAACAAAGCAAAATAACGTGATGATAATGCAATGATTGCAAAGGCGCAAGCGAGCTTCAGAAGAATAACAATAATCCCTGGAGAAGGAGAGCAAAGGGGACAAAGGACAAACATAAGTCTCCAAACACAACTAGGTGACTGGTGCGCTCTACAAACTGAGCTAACCAGGGGTTAGACGCTCGCTAGTAGAGCAAACGGGTTTTGACAACTGCCACCAGTCTACCACAAACATGGGTAAACAGCCTGCGTTTTAAGGTTATGACGATAATGCAATTAATGCAAACGTGCAAGCGAGCTGGGCAAGAAAAATTATAATAAACGATAATACATTACCGTTATTCCTGTCCAGCTCGCTTGTATACCTTTGCATGAATAGCATTGACATCATAATAATAAAATGCAGGCCGTCCACCTTTGTTGGTTTTAGACTGGTGGCAGCTGTCAAAGCCCGTTTGCTGTGCTGACGTCTAACCTCTAATTAGCCTAATTGGCAGAGCGCTCCACTGGAAATAGAGAGTTTCCAGGTTCAATACCAGGACCAGGCGGATTTTTTTAGTCGGGCATCGGTCATCTAGCTGTGTTTGGAGATTTGTGCATGTCCTTTGTCCTCCTTGTTCGCCTTCTTCAAGGTTTGTTATCGTCAAATTAGTGCATTTCTTGTGTATTGATTTCTGCCAAAGGTTACCTAAGATTGAAAGCATAAAAAGTACTGGGGGTTTTCGCAAAATAGAAAGTTACAAAAACCTGCTTTTGCTTGCGTGATACCGCTCCGGATGTGGGCTTCCTAGCACTGTTCAAAATGGCCGTACAACTCCCAATACCCCAACAGTTCTACAAAACACATTCTTCTGATACAACTCTTCCGCAATAAAAAATTACAACGTCAGTGCCAACGTCTCCATTGTTTCTTGTATGTTAAAAAGAACCAACTGGATCTGAATTTGAATTAACTTACCGTTGACGCTACTCCATCAAGTTGCCTGCCGCCATGATTGGAGACAATGATAGCGGGGATGCCATTACGGACAGCCAGGACAGCGTCCTCGGCTGAAATAAAATTTATCAGATGCATTTTTTCAAAGCAACCCATAAGACAAAAAAAAAACAACAGAAATGGCGACTGTTTGCAATAAACTTAGATGTATAAAAGCTTTCAAGAAAATAGTACAAATGCTCAGCAGAAAAGTGAGGGCATTTTGTTTTCCATTCACGTATATTTCATCTCGATACCTCACCTTGCCCTGTCTAACTTTCTTACCCATGTATTTTTTTTTTGTTGCTTTTTTGAGACATCTTTTTTATAGCATATCTAATATTTCCTCAAATCACCGTCCACGCGCCATCTTCCTGCGAACGTTGAGTTCCCAAAGTGTATACCTAGAGAAGTTACATATACCTGACAATAACGCTAATTCCAATAGCGTCGAGGAGACATCACCGAAGGTAACGTTTCTGTAAGCAACGAAAGTTTCCACAGCTATGAACGGCGTGAGCTCCTACAGAGAATTTATCAGTCAATAACTGGATCGATGGAACATATACACATATGGTTGCATGACGTCACGTGGAAAATACGATGGGGCTTCACTAGAAAACGACACGGCTCTCTCCAGGTAAGGACTCGCTCACACCAAGGCGCCCTATTCGCGGCGATTCCGCAGAATTCAGGGCGGTATGGTACGCAGCAAATCATAAGCAATCATGGAAGTAGTCTCGCGAGAAAGAAAGGGGAAGAGATCGACAGAAGAGCGGGAAAAATAAGCAGACGATAAGCTGGGCGTATTCGTTTTACCGCGGCGACTGAAAGTCGTTTGAGTGCTCAACTTTATATCTTTTCGTGCAATGGCCGACGCCGGTATTTTTCACTAAGTACAAAATGAAGCAAGAAAATCCATAGCCACATAGATTGAAAGTTATTTTTCCCAGCCTTCTTTGTGTATATTAAAGCGTCGCCATTCTATAACGTAAACAACGCACTCGTTACTTTTTCAGAACAGTAACGCATAACGCACTTACGTTACTTATCTCGAGTAACGTGTAACATAGTTACCCTTTACTTTTTGTTCCCGAGACGTAAAAAAAAAACAAAAAAAAACGCATCAATGTTTTTTTTGTTTTGTTTTTCAGGCGCCCGTTATGAATTCTTTCGTTTTTCGGCGTTTATCCTCGAGGGCGTTCAAGTGGAACAATAAAAATTATAAGCTATTGATCAATCGACCCTTCTTTATTTTTGGCCTTGAAGTCAACGGTACTCCACACAAAAAGCTGTCAAAGGCAGCTTGAAGGGGCTTGGGGCCTGTTTGGAGTTTAGCAGCAGCCCTAATTTTCAATGTACGAAGAAAAACACGCTAATACGATAAAGCAAATTTAACAAAATACCGAAATCTTATATAAAAATATTTAAAAAATAGTGTAAAAATGGCGACACACAAACGCATGCACCCAAAAATACACGCACAGTTTTGTTCAGAATATTTTACAAAATACCAGTTTATGAAAGGGAAATAGGGTTAGCAAGAAAGCACTTCAATGTAGAGTAACATATTCCTATGAAACAAAATCGCGTCCACTCAGCCGAATTTTGCATGAAAAAAATACGGGTCCTTTAAATAAAAGATATATATGCTATATGATAACACGCTTTTATCGAAAAAAACAAACGCATGTTCGTCGATACTCAACGTCCGATGGAATTATAAGTGCATCAATAATAATTTTCTTCCCGTTTTATATAAAGTATAGATTAAGAGTATTAGTAAGCAAATGTTTAACTAATGAGGGTAGACGATATGTGATCGACTGATGAGTATAATTAGTACAAGCTCGGGCTTTGTTAAGACAAGATTTTTTTTTCTTCATAATATGGCGTTTATGCATGCCCGTAACATCAAAACCGTAAAACGGTTTATTAGTGAGTTTTAGTAAACCGTGTTTCCCGCTCCGCTAAGCCCCTCCGCTACCCGAAACTCTACAGCCAAGGCCATCGGCGCGCAGGCGCAGTGGCGATTCCGCGCTCCGCTCTGCAGAGCGGCTGCACGAAAACGATCTACTAAAACTCCCTAATGTATCTATAAAAAGTAACGTAGAAGCGATATATGCGTTCCCTTTTATCGGTAACGGTAACGCGTTACTTTCATTCGCACGTTAGAGTAACATATTTCTTCTTAACACCTACAATACCGTTACACCAGCCAGAAAAAAAGGGGGTACCAATTAGAGGCGCGTGCCAGGCATTATTCGCAACCGGGTGATGTAACCCAAAGGAAAAGAAGCAAAGGAGAAAAGCGGTGACGGCTACCGCCTATCCAAGCGTGCAGCAAAACTTGGCATTGCCTAGCGGTTCAAACGCTAAAGTGGCGAACGTCCAAAGTATAGCATGACCAAAAAACACCATAAACGCGTATTCGGTCAAGCTCAACAGGCTAATTTCGGTATTTTGATTAACGCCTGGTCTACAGGGGAACGCCTCATCGCCGTGTTTACGGGGGAAAGGAAAGTAAGTGACTCACGTACGCACTAGCCTTGAGCCGGCATTCAGATTTGCCTATCCGACAAGCGTGAGCACATATGTCAGCCGACTGAAGGCAAGCTCGTGAATCACTGAGCCGTATTTACCTAACCTTCGTTCCCTTCACCTCTGTCTTTCCACGTAAACCAGGCGATGTGTCGCCTGCGAAAGCGTGCCACTCAGAGTGCCGAAACTAGGCCTGTTGACTTAACTCCACACGCTCTTCCGAATATGCAACCGGGGCTATAGTAATGTCCGCAAATAAGGGGACCCACCAGTGAGGATTCCCTTGAGGATGACCGGAAGAAAGGTGAGGTTCTTCAGCCATTGAACGTCGTCCCACGTCAAGGACTGGTCGAAGAGAGAGTTTGCGTACGCCTCCAGGCCCGAGCCGGAGGCAGACGACAAACTGGACAACTCCTTTCCGTCGAAGTTGGCCAACCTGCGTCAAGTTACGGGCAAAAAACACTTAAGCTTCAGAGCAAACCATTGACTTCTTCCTTCCCTCTTGTCAGTAACAGACTCCGTGAGCGAATAGCACAATGAAAGCCAAGAAGGAAGTAGCAACCTATTGTTGTTATCTATTCGCGTATGGTATACAGCGAGGACATCAGTTAACTAAGAAAATCTTGCTGTTGCCTAATATTTGATACGACAAATTTGACTACATTGCTGGGGCGACCACAAAGAAAGAGACAAACCGATTCAGTGTCTAAATACGCGTGTATTTTCCTACAGGAGATGTGGCCATTGCGCATGTGCAGGAACCTTTCTCCGAGTGAAAGAAGCGTCTGAGCATGTTCCGTTTTCCAGCTGCAGCGCCATCACATTGGTGTAATGAAAGAAACAGTTGGTGCATGTAAGATTTCGATCGGAGTGAGATTTAGATGGGTCGATCTCGGTGATGGGAGCGAACAAGGTGGTAGTTTCCAGGAATAATTCGCGATGGTCTGCAAGTGTTGAGCATGTGCTAAAGGCTGAATTTCATGGAGCGAATTATGTGACGAATAAGTGACGAACGTCATCCGACGGCACGCTCGCTTTGCGCGCGACGTAGCAGTCACTGTGCTGATTCCACGCGCAGAGCAAAAGCCGCCGGGCAAAAATCGTCGATTTTTCGCAGAATATTCGTCCCATGGAGTTCAGCCTTAAGAACGTGCATGGCGCCATACCCCAACGGATGTCTAGGGTCCTGTGTCGTGCCTTTTCGGGAAAGAAAACTAAAATATTCAAAGTAATCATGACGAAAAAAGATTAGGATACTTCTCATGGTAGAGTGCAGTGTCCGAGCTACCGATGAGAGACGACGACAGTCGCCTTTTTAACCTCAAACAATTTATGCGAGCTCTCTTTTTTTGTCGCTTAAATTCACAGAAATGCTCATGTACTACTTTAGGCCCTGAGAAATATCCCTTATTAATGGTGCGGCCACGTATCACACACCGCGAGACCCTTTAAATTAGGTTTGTTGCCGCTTGATGACAGGATCCTTAGGGACTTCTAGCAAACCGTTACCGCGTTCCAGTAGTGCGGTACGGGGAACACGGTAACGGTTGCTAAAAGTCCCTAATAGGGGCCACCGCTCCTGTGACACCATCAGGACGCGGCCGGCGTTAGCATGACACTTTTATGACGTCACCAGGCGGGAATCGAGGGATCACTTTTTTGGACACGGTACACACATCAGACGGAGACGCCTTCCATGGCACCATACTATCGGAGGATCTACCCAAGCCTACATAAAAAAGGCGGCGCTCAGAGGCCTTTACTTGCAAACGTGTATACATGGTCTGCACGTGACATCATCGCCCCGAGCTGATGGTCATTATGGGTCCATCCTGCTTGTTCTTGCCGAGAACGAACGAATTGGGTGGTGTGAAATCTGTGCAGCAGGAGGTACGCGCTCAACAGCAAAGGCCACCCTTTTCCGGAAAATCCCAGGTGACCTTGCAACGAAGGAATTGTGAGGCTGTTCGGACGCTCGTGCGGTGCCGAAGGCTTCGTATATCTTGGTAGCGGCACGATTTTTTTTTTTCTTATCGTTAGGAGCTCAGAATCCAAAGCAAAATTACGCGAACGGAAGAGAAGGTCATCACATGCTCCGTTTTGCGTTTTCTTCCGCCTTCTCTGCGTTCTAAAATCACGAACTGGTGAACCAACGTCCACCTCCTCGTCTTCCAATTCTTGAATAATTTCAGGTGCCGTGCATCTGAACGTCACGACGCGTAAAGCAGACGGAAAGGTTCATTGCCACTGATGTGACATCATGCAGTGCGAGTCACGAATACGCCAACTCGGCTCCCTGATGTCACGCCACAGCGGTGTCGCTGCTGTCGGCACTGCGCATGCGCAGAAGCTTTGCCTCACGCGAATCTGGTCTCTGCGCACGCACATTGCCCACACCAGGTGCGGGCAAACGCTGACTTGTTTATAAACAAGCGTGTCGGTCTATGGATACGGTGAAGCCTCAGTAACGCTGCTCAAACACCCCACAAAAGACACGGAGTTCTCCGTAGAGATGACGGAGTTCTCTGCAGACATGACGGAGTCCTCTGCGGGCACGTCTCAAGCATGTTCCAAGCAGACAGATTTCTTGTACGACCAATGTCACAGGACCGGCATAAAGGAAAGGAGCAAGCCTCGAAGCCTCCGCACCGTCGTTTGTATGGTGTATGAGGAGTGCGAACACGCTGGCTCCTGCATTAACTCACGTACTTGAGGTGACTGGGCAGGCTGAAGCGCTTCCGGACGTCGGAGACCCTCCGCCCAAAGACGGGCGCGTCGACGGTGAGGACGAGCGCGCTGTAGCCGGCCTGCTCGGCCCTCTTGACGAGTCTCCTGGTCAGCTCTCGGTCTTGGAACACGTACAGCTGGTACCAAAGGATGGCGTGCGGGGCCGCCTTCCGCACGTCTTCCATCGACGTGGTGCTCAGCGTGCTGAGGATCATCACCGTGCCGGCCTTCTCGGCGGCTGAATGATCGAGATGTGCAGCAATTAGTAGACGTATTGCCACACCCGCAAACGTTTCGTTTGATACTGGCGTAGAATACGTAATGTATGGCCCGGCTATGTAAGAAACAACCCAAAAATTTTCAACCCCGACGGCATGTATTGAGTCCCCTTTTAGAGCGCAGCTCTTAGGCGCCCGTTCCCGGCTTGAGCGGCGTCGGCGTCGCCGTCGGCGTAACCGCAACCTTCGTAACCCTCGTGAGGGTTACGAGGGTTACGAGGGTTAATCTCATGAGGGTTACCCTCACGAGGATCACGAGCGCCACGAGGGTTACTTACCCTCGTAACCCTCACGAGGGTTACGAGGGTTAGTTACCCTCAAAAGGGTTACCTTCACGAGGGTTACCCTCACGAGGGTTACTTACCCTCGTAACCCTCACGAGGGTTACGAGGGTTGGTTACCCTCAAAAGGGTTACCTTCACGAGGGTCACGAGCGTTATGAGAGTTACCCTCACGAGGGTCACGAGAGTTACCCTCACGAGGGTCACTAGAGTTACCCTCACGAGGGTCACGAGAGTTGCCCTCACAAGGGCTACTAGGGTTACCCTCACGAGGGTCACGATGGTTACCCAAGTCACGTGACACCCCCGGGGTCACGTGACCTGGGGATACCCCCCGAGGTCACGTGACCCCCCGTTGACGTCATCGACACCGATGACGTCATCAGTGACGTCACTGATGACGTCACCGGCATCCGCATCGTCATCATCATTGATGACGTCATCAGTGACGTCACTGATGACGTCACCGGCATCCGTATCGTCATCATCATCAGTGACGTCACTGATGACGTCATCGGCATCGTCACGTGGCCCCAGGTCACGTGACCCCCCCCCCCGACGTCACGTGACGCCCAAAGGTCACGTGACTCCCACAAGGTCACGTGACCCCACCGCCCCCCGAGGTCACTTGACCCACCCCCCCCAGTACCCTTCCCTCCTCCTCCTCAAGAGCTGCGCTCTAATTCGGCGTTACAGGGTGTTGTAAACGGCTTTCATTTTTTTAGAGCGCAGCTCTTAGGGGCCCGTTCCCGGCTTGAGCGGCGTCGCCGTCGCCGTCGGCGTCGGCGTAACCAAGGTCATCCCAAGGTCACGTGACCCCCCAAGGTCACGTGACCCCTCCCAAGGTCATCTCAAGGTCACGTGACCCCACGTGACCCCCTGAAGGTCACGTGACCCCTCGAGGTCACGTGACCCCTTCCAAGGTCATCTCAAGGTCACGTGACCCCAACATGACCCCACGCGACCCTTTGAAGGTCACGTGACCCCCAAGTCACGTGACCCCTCTGAGGTCACGTGACCCCCGAGGTCACGTGGTCGCCTCCCCAAGGTCACGTGACCCCCGAGGTCACGTGACCCCCAAGGTCACGTGACCCCTTCCAAGGTCATCTCAAGGTCACGTGACCCCCAGGTCACGTGACCCCTCTGAGGTCACGTGACCCCTCTGAGGTCACGTGACCCCCGAGGTCACGTGACCCCTCCAGGTCACGTGACCCCCAAGGTCACGTGGGGGTCACCTTTGGGGTCACGTGGCCTTGAGGTCACCCCCAGGTCACGCCTCCCCGAGGTCACGTGACCCCCTCCCCGAAGTCACGTGACACCCCCCCGGAGCATATTAAAGAATGAGGGGAGGAGGAGGAGAAGGGGGAGGGGTCTACCCTCCCCTCAGTACCCTTCACTCCTCCTCCTCAAGAGCTGCGCTCCAATTCGGCGTTACAGGGATTTGTAAACGGCTTCCACTTTTTTGTTTCACATCTGGGTCGCAGACGGCGCAATAATTCTCTGTACACTTGGATTGGTGATAGCTCCCAGATTATCTTCTAAACTGCCAATAACTATATACGGTAGACGTTTCCACACACACAAAAAAAAAATTGTTTTCTGCGGGCTGCCATCCTTGTCAACTGGGCTGTGGAACGCCTTCTGCGCATTCGTTGTAGCTTTTTTGTGCAATACATGAAACCCTGCGCATGCATCCTGCAGCTCAGTGGCTCAGTACTTTTCTCCCGGGTAATAAGCGCCGGAAAGGTCTATAAACTAACAAAAATCGGGAGTGACTACATACTCTTTCGGGAATCACTTGTTAGAGCCAATGGCCGTGTAGTATACTGGCTCTCCCAGGTGATTTGTGGCAGACTATAGTCGCTCCAGATTTCCTATATATAGGAAATCTGGAGCGACTATACTTTCCCACAAATCACCTGAGAGAGCCAGTGTACCCCCTATGTACACCCTATAGGGTGTACATAGGGGGTATTCACTGAACGCCATATTTGAGGGCGATGTTTACAACGCATGCTCTGAACTAGCTCACACTCATAGGCTGCTAAGCCCGGTTATCTTTATGGTACGAAATGCAGATTGAAATAGAATTGTGGAAGCTCGCCGTCAGCACGCGCTCAGGAGTCAGATACGAAGCTATGACCGCCAGTGAATACTCCCTATAGTAGTCCACCTATAGGGAGTATTTCCTGGCGGTCATAGCTGTGTGCGCGACTGCTAGCCGCGTGCTGGTGGCGAACAATTTCACAATCCTATTTCAATGTGCACTCCGCACCATCAAGACTGCCGGTCTTAGAAGCCGAGCTCGTTGAGGGCATGCGTTCTAAACATCGCCCTCAAATATGGCACCCAGTGAATTCCCCCAATAGAAGCTTTCAGAGAGCTGTGCATATGTGCCGCCATAACCGATCTTAAGTTTTTGTTTCCTCTTATTCCGCTCGCTTCATTTCATCATTGCCACAGCAAGCCAGGTTATTGCCACTTTAGGTGCTAGCTATCCTGTGTCCTTCTCCTCAGCTACACCTACTCAATGTACCTCCAGAGCATATTTTTTTTTTCAGATCCGGTTGTGGGCGAAATGAATTGAACGCACTTTAAACTGACCGCATAAATCGGTTCCTTAACTTATCGCGCTGGGATTTGCTATAGAGGTGCTCGAAGCTGGGGCATTCATTAACTGAGAATATGAATACATGAAACCCTCGGGGAGTCAAAAGAAAGCAGATTAAAACTGGTTTTGTCCAAAGAAACATTATCGCTAAGCCTTTTATCTCAAAATCATCAGAAAATCGTTGTGGGCTATTCTGGCGTTTACAACGCTCCAACAATTTGTGAAATGGAACCAAAATAAAATTGGCTTAACTATTCTTCACTTTATTTGCCCCCCCCCCCAAAAAAAAAAAAAGAAAAACGCTACAGTAACACTTATTTTTTTTTTTAGTGCACCTGCAAAGTATAGGGAAACCATATTTATTTCTTATTTTTCTTGATTTACTCAGGCGAGCTAATATCTCCACAATTTTAGCGAAAACTTCCACCAACTTCAGGCAGCTCTGTATAGGAAGTATTCACTGGCGGCCATAGCTGTGTGCACGACTGCTAAGCGCGTGCTGATGGCGAGCTTCCACAGTTCCTTTGTAACGTGCATTCCGCACCCTCAAGATTGCCGGTCTTAGCAACCAATTATTGTGGGCTCGTTCAGAGCATGCGCTGCAGACATCACCCACAAATATGGCGCCCAGTGAATACTCCTTATTAAATCCTAGCGCGATACGTTAAAAACCCGATTTATGCCGTCTCTTCGAACGACCATCGACCCTTTTGACCCACGCGCTATTACGAGCTTCGTCATTCTCTAAAATGCTTGTTTTCCTTTGTGTTTTTTTTCCTTTGTTGCTGACGAGATTGATTCTAACCGTGTTCCGTCAACTCACGAACAATGTTTAGAATGTAGTCACAGAGACAGCTTCAAGGGACGACGAAACAATATTTGTACATTCAGGAAATGCCGCCTTATTCCTTGACATTCATAATATACAGGGTGTCCCAAATAGTGGCCAGGCTCTTTGAATCGATTACTAAATTCGGTTTCTTAACCTATCGCGCTACGATTTTGTGCAAAGTTGCCTCCAGATGGTGCATTTTTGTTTTGTAAAATTTGCAAAGATCAAGTTTGTCCGAGGAAAAAGTAAAAAAAGAAAAAGGCTTAACCCCTATGGAAATGCAGCGAAGCCACCGGTCTTCAAAACAATAGGGCTAAATCGCGCTTGTAGCTCTGGCTGCAGTCTGAACTTAAGGCTTAACCGAGTATACTGCCTGTAAGCTCGGGTTAAAACCATTCAAACCCAATCTCGTTGCACGGCCTCTTTAACATAATCAGCCACACCCCGGGATTATTAAGTGCTCAGTGACTATAAACAAATGGCAAACCCAGTTCCCTCCCTGACCCTTTGCCGTGGCCTCCTCGCCGTCCGGATGGGCCATCCTCTGCATGGCAGAAGGCGCGATGCCCAAAGGCATGGACAGCCTCTGCCTTCCCAGCACGGTCACCGTCATGTCCCGATCCTTGACGCCACGAAGCATTCTGGGACGAAGACGAAGCCTGCGCAAAACGCCGGATCCGTCCCCGGCAATCATTCCCGCCCGCATGTTTGTTTTGATATGAATAAATAAGTATCGTAACGGCTCGCGGCTTTTCTAATCACTGAAATGAACGTTAAAGGGACACTGACACCCCCCAAAATTTATTTTTTTCATTTTTTTGCCAGGCGCTTTATTATGGTGTCGGAGGACTACCCAATTAATATTTTGCAACAGAGTAGCGTATTTTTTTTTAATAAAGCCAAAAGACGCAACTGCTCGAAACCGAAACCGAAACCCGACGGAGATCGGAGAAGAGGGCTGTGTTCCAAAATTTACTCGATCCGACTCCGGAGTAAAAGTTTCGTACCGTGGCGTTCCAAAACTTACTCGAGCTTACTTGATGACGTCAGAATCCGCGTTCCAGAAGCGGGTTGTTTACTCCGGAGTAATAACTCGCGCTACCCTCCTCGATCGGGGAGTAACGTCGGATCAAATCGAGTAAATACGTCACGTGATCTGTTCGTCGTCTGCTTTCTGCGCAGACAGCCGTCAAAGCTCGCTTGCTCCGTTGGTTTTGGTGGCGGACGTTCGAAATGACAAAGAATTAGGTGCAGCATGTGTAGTTATTGCGATTTGCTGTTGTCAACGCAGGAATTGACTGCATTACATCCAGACCGTCCACCTTCCCCGGGAACGTGTACTTGTTATTATCTGAGTGCGAGCGTAAACAGGAGCTTCTCCGCATCCTCGCCCTCGGCGTTGGGGGAATGCTGCATTCTCACGTTCAAGGCCGAAAATGTTTGAACTCGGTATATGATAATGTAGCATTTTTGTTTCCTCCAGAGTGTGTGCAATGAGAGGATAACGTTTGTAAAGCAGTGAAGGCTTCGAAAATTTTACTGTAATCGCATTCGCGTCATAGCGAACGTGAGTTTCATATCATTCTGGAGGAAGCACCCTCGCGCTGTACCGCTACAACGTGCGGAATATATTTCTGCAAAACATAATCGGTGCAAATTACAATGCGTGGAATATATGCGTTTAGGGCACCGTGACTAGAATTGCAGCGATCGCGCTGATTAATAAAAACACATTTTTTTTTATGTCTAGCTGTAAGAAGTAATTTTGATCTCAGTATACAGCTCAAAACGAAGGTGAGTAATGGAGCCTGGTGGATCAACATCAAAAAACACCGCGTCGTCATTAACATTACCGTTCTTCGGTTGCTTTCTCCATGATCAAAAGGATCGTCTGCAATTTTCTGCCATCGCTGCTGTGTTTCCTTTTTGCCGTTGCCCAAGACGAAGCCAATCCGCGTAGTATCCAGGTGATTATCCTGGCCGTTCCAAAATCGAGTCGCGGATCGTTTACTCGCGATGTCACGTGGTATTACCCGCTGACGTAGGAGGCAGATTACTCGGGTAAGATTTGGAACATAGCCGTGGAGAGAAGAGAGTGAGTGGCGGAAGTCACGTGGCTACACCCGACCGTGCGTTTTTTTTTTGTTTGTTTTTTTTGGTAGCAGACGACACGACATGCGGCGTAGGGAACTGTTCGCCGTGCGATTCTTTTGCAGTTACGTTTGTTCCGCTCGTTGTTCTGTACTCCAAGATGAGTTGTTTTGTACATTGAGGAGTTGGAGATGAGTAGTGAGTGCCCGTGGTAAATTTCCATGATCGGCTCCGAAAAGAATACACCCAAGATGTTGCTTGAAGAGCTGGCTCACATGTCATGCGTCCGAAAAAAAAAAAGGGGGGCATTGTGCGACAGAGTTTCCGAAAGATCAACGGGATCGGGACCAATGGCTGGCTGCAATTCCTGTAGAACATATACGGCCACCTCGGAAAGCGGACGCTACCTGATTTGTATGCTCCTTGCATTTTGTGGAAAGTGATTACATTGAGCTCGCAGGTGTCAAAAAGGAAATCCCATACCATTTAATTCAGCGAAGTGTATTCCACAACATTTGTTTGTTTGTTTCTTCAGTGATAATTGTAAAAAAAAAAGATATGTAAACATCAAAAACTTTTTGAAAAAACAAATAAATAAAATGGTTTCACGGGGGATCGAACCCGGTCCTACCGCGTGTGAAGCGACGTCTTTCCCACTGAGCTACTGGGGCATCTCTGTACTGGTGGATCTCTTTCCTTAGTAATAATTCAGCCGGTAACTAAGTTGGAAAGTTTGCTGCCGATCGATTTTCCTCCAGCAAAAGCACTCCCGGGTCGAAGTCTGGAAGCACCGCGCATTGGCGACATTCGCACCTAGTAAAGAAATCGTACGCGTGCATATTCAACTCGAAGTAGACACGTCGTGCTTGACGTTTGCGCGAGCGATGTCTTCAGCCACGAGAAGGGAGCGACGGCTCGGCGACGTCTTCGTGCAAATCGGCTTGGTGGTCGGGAGTGTCGTAGGGGATGAATACCAATTCTTTTGATCAATCCCAAATTTCTCTTTTAAAAGTAGACAGAATTCGCCGGTACCGCGAACGACAGTTCTGAAATAGAGGCCCCACGCCCGTCGTCCGCTGCCATTGCCGTCCCCGCGAGTCCCACGATACGCGAAACGACGAACGCACAGAATGCTTCCGGTTCTCTGTGCAACTTTTTTTTTTTTTCAATCAACGTATTTGCAGCTTTTTAGAAGCCACAAAAAATGGGTTTCATGTTTTTTTCTATTTTTAATATTGAGTGTGTGCCTTCAGTGACCCACGACTTTGATTAAATTTGGTGTTCGCATCGATACCTTAGAAAACGGCCCGTGACCGCGGAAAAGAGAGTGAGCGAGACTCGAACCGGCCAGTTCTTGATCGGCGGTTTTCGGGCGGAAAGAAACCGAATGTCGAGCCGCAAATTCTGTTCTGGGTAGTTGAGCTCTCATATGTCACGTACAACTAAAAACCTCGGCGAGCATAAATACCCTGTCAGTGTCCCTTTAAATACGAGGGACGATTTAATTTTTTTTCTTATACCAATATCGGACATTTAAATATACTCTCGACATATTCATTGCGCCATGACTTGTACATGTCTTCAACCTGTGTTTGTCGTGCGGAACATTCCATAGGAAAATGAAACGTGCCAAAGTGTCAGTTCTGTATAAGGGCGGCGAAAAGAATTATTTGACAAATCATGGAATTACGGAACGGAGCCCCACTTCCGACACTAATGTAGCGCTTCATGCTTACAAGCCGTTCATTTACTGGACGTCCGCTTGCTTTGCTCATAAAGGCCGGTTCTCACATGCAGCGAAGCGCTGATGTAGCGCTCCTCACGTGCCGTCAGCTACTTATCGTCTGCCATGAGCAACAGTTTTGACGGTGCGATACAAAGCTGGTGAACGCTCCCATCAGCACGCGCTTAGCGCGAGGTAAGCGCTATGCTTGTAGCGCTCCGCTGCATGTGGGAACAGGCCTTAACCACCGAATTCAGAAACCTCACTCAAACTACACTCAAACTCAAGGGCCCCTCCACTTCCTCGAGGAAGGCGCGAGGGCCGGCGCTGGCCAATCGCGAGGACGGATCCGTCCTCGCGATTGGCCAGCGCCGGCCCTCGCGCCTTCCTCGAGGAAGTGGAGGGGCCCTTGAGTTTGAGTGTAGTTTGAGTGAGGTTTCTGAATTCGGCGGTAAGTCTTCCAACTGCTGTCGCGAGCACTCCGTGTTCTTGTCCTTGTTCTCTTCTTTCCTGTGCCATAACCTTCGCTACAATATTATTTTTTTCAAGGGTGAAGCACCATATTAGCGCCCCATAGCTAATGAGATTACGAAATTAACCAATGAAAACACTGAATACCAAACCACAAAACAAAAAGCGTGAATTAATAAGGTATAGGCACTGCGTCTCTAGAGCTGTCAGTGGCTATTAGCGCTGAAATGTTTCGGTGGTGCCTTTTAATGGCTTCCGTTCGTGACATCACAACCAGAATTTGCGTCGACGTAATTGGCAAGATTTGTCTTTGGCTCGCCACGATTGGCAGTATTTACCTCGGTGAAAACCGGAAATCGGGCAGGCATTATCGGTATAGAGGAAGATATATACGTTTGGCCCATCGCGAACATCGACCATAGCGACGCTATTGGTAGCGCACGTCACTAATAATCGTTTGCCAAGCTCCATCCGTAATTTTCAGCGATTGGGTCTCCCCAATGCACGGCAGGAAGTTCGAAGAATTGGAATTCTTAGGGTGTAGGCCAGTTGAAAAACATGTATTAGACGTCACTCGAAGGCAGACCACTTCTCTCTCTCTCTGCCTAAACCTTCACATATTGCGGCTTTACGTCGCAGAGCGACGGAGGTGATGAGCGACTACTCCCAAAAACTTCTTGGGAGAAAAGACCACTCAGGGTTTGAACCCTTCACTTCGCGCTCCAAATGCAGGTTAACGCGGAACGACCAAGCCACGTGGAGGCGGCCCCTCTAAAGGCATTTCTTTTGGCTTTTGTCGCTTGGGTGGTAAGCGCTGGAAAGCTCTCATCACCCAAACGAAAACTGCCGAGTCACTGCCTGTAGGCAGTAGTAGCCTGCAGAAATTTCGAACCTAATCAAAGCACGCGTGCACTAAAAAATTTGACGTCATCACAGCAAGAACGCGCGCAAGCAGAAATTGGACGCTATTAGTGGTGTGTAAGCCTGGGATGGTGTCTAATCAGTGTTTCGAAGGACGCCGCCAGGTGTAAGACTCGGGCCTAATTGCCGACTCGGCACCATCCTGTTGTGGTGAAGTTCCACCGAAGCAGTGCGTTCCTTCAAAACAGGAACGAAAGTTCGTTTCTCGTTCTTTTTCAACGTTGGGAAGAATTCCCGTTACAGGTTCCTGGGGCTCGAAAGAAACACCTTCCCGTTACATTTATAGGCTTGGAATGGATCGTTACCTGAGCGTTACTTTGGTGCGCTTTAATTAAATATTGTGCTGGGAAATGAGTAAATAAAATCAAGCAAGCAAGCGAGAAAAACGTCGAAAATCGCCGTACGATTGTGTTGCTACGTCCAACGTTCTATAGGTTTAGCACTAGTAATTTCCAGGCATTTCTTCTCGAGCTCTGCCTCCAGGTCCCTCCACTCCTCTCCTCCCCATTGATTCCGCCTGCTCCTCTCCACTCCATTGCCCGCTAAATTTAGTCGGGGAAATGACGTCACAAGGCTTGATGTCACCTGACCTATACATGCAAATTTCCAATACATCAAATTTCCCCACTAAATTTAGACTTACACCGACGCAAGAGGGAACGGCGGCGTTCCTTCTATAGGAACGCCGTTCGTTGGAACGCCATTCCGTACAACAACACAGCGTTGAGGTAGAGAAGGCTGCTCACCGACTTTGTGGTTATTCTCTGGTTGCCGACTGCTCAGTAAGGAACGCAGGGCGTAGTGAGTCCCGACCATCCTGACGTATCTCGTCATCCAATGAGACGGCGGCGGCGTTAGGTGATATCAGCACGTCGAAGACCCAATGCGAAGCCCAAGTTCGTCTGCTTCTTTGCGCAGAGGTTGCACTGACGTCAGAACGCCGAGCCTCTGATTGGCTCTGATGGAGGGATAGTGGGTAGACCTCAATGCTAGCTGCCGTGAGGCCTACCCATGGATTCTTGCAATCGGAGCCAATCGGAGCTCGCCGTCGTTAGGCGTTAAAAGAATCGAGTAGCGTGACCAAGTCCGGCGTCTCCTTAAGCTGTCAGGTCATGCTGTCATCACGACGTGACGTTATATAGCTTTGCAACACTAACAAACGTTCGCTTCCGATGTTGTCGTTTTATAATCCAAACCACCAAAATCGCTAAACAATCTGTAGCCTTTTTTTTTTTTTTTTTTTTCTGTGGCTTATGTGACGTACGTTGTTGCTCTCTCAGAGAAACCGCGATGCATACGCGCACGAGGGTCGGAAAGTCGGAGACGCTGCATATCGTATCGTGGTTCTAACGGTGCCACGGGCATGCCTCCTTTGCGGGCGCGAGATGAGATCGGAAACGGATGACGACGAAGCTCGGGCTGATAGATATCATGAACCTCCTCCACCTCTTTCCTTGGCATCGTAAATGTTGGCAAAATCACATTGCCGACGTGCGGCGGAACATTCAGGTGTATATGCGTGCATAGCTTTCAACGACCTTGCATTAGCGAAAGCAATGAAGACATATACGCACGGGCTTTTGCGCGCATCGACTACACTTTGCTCATGGAGCGAGATTTGATGACCGCAGTTTCAGACACCTTTTGCGGTACTTTTGACGAGAATAAAATAAAGAAACCGCAAATGTAACGACTGCGGAATACCGAAACAAACATACAGACTCTGAAGAGATCAGTGATAAAAATAGAGGAGGTTCGCTTAAAACACAAAGCTCTACTGATGAATCAATCAGCAATTAGCAACTGAAAAATTAGTTTCATCTGCCATGAGGCGACGTACCCACTAAAAACGACAGAATGTCACAAAAAAATACACGGAGATAAGCGATGGTGGGCATGTTAGTTTAGGTTAGTCCGGGCTTGCTTATCAAGATGGGTTACATAAGCTAAGGTGAGTCATGCTACGTAGGCTAGCGCTGATTCGGTTAGGAAACTCGGACTTCAGACCAAATCAACGAAGCGCAGCGATGGTCAGTGCCCAAGGGTGCGCGGGGCGGCCCGGGCGGGGAAATGGACGCTCCAGAGAGTGTATACGTTTATGTTAGACAGGTTAGTTTTGTTGAAGCCAACACAATCTAACCTAACCACATTTGGTTAGGTTAGGTAAAATTTGATTAGGTTAGATTAGGTTTCCCTAAGTCAGCTCAGGTTGGGTTAGGTAGGGCCACACTGTGTTAGGCTAGTAAAGGTCAGGCCATATTGCGTTAGTCCTCGTTATGTTGCTTTCGTTGTGGACAGGGAAAGGCCTCACCTTCGGAACGCCTGCTTGTTCTCCGTGAGCGTCTGCTGGTCGTCGGCCCCACTCTGGTAGTAGCCCCTCGGCCCGTCGTCGAGGTTCTTGAGGGCGATGCGCTCGATGTCGTCCAATGTGATCACGACGTCGTCGTCCGCGGAAACGGTAGTTTCTTGCTTGCAGTTCTCTGAGGCGAACGAACAAAATTGGTGCGTCCCTGAACGTCCCCCCATGGCAATCAGTTCGTCGAACGACGTTTCATCGACAGATCGTTTCGTCGCCACTGCATGCGATGTTTGATCGCAAGGTTCCCCGCGTTCGTTTTTGTCAATGCGCCTTGCGACGCTTCGTTCAAAGCGTCTTTTCCGCGTACATCGCCTCGGTCGCCGGCATCCAGACGAATATATCCTATAGCTTGCCGAGCCCTTGAACCACAGTCTGCTATTACATCTTACAAAAGACAGTGTGCAGACGGTCTGAGGCGTGTTTGTTTTTTCTTGTATGTCTGTCCTGTCACGTTAGTCATACTAAAACGGACTGTAGAGATGCATGAAGCATATATACGTGTGAATGAAACAACATGCTTCGAAAATGCTTCAGACGTGTACGCAGACAACTCTGGCCTCATGTCTACAGAGAAATACTCGTCTCTTTTGTATACTGTATGAGGAGTGGGACAGCGGGTTGGGTGATTCTGACGAGGCTTGGTCTATTAAGCTCGGGCCTGAGATGACATTCAAAGTTCCTTGTCTTAAACTGCGTAAGAGTAACGCTGTAAGAGCTCTCTAGATATAAGCATGATTGATACGTTGATTGCACACACGGTGCCAAAGACGTTTAATTATATTGGCAAGGAACGCTTTCAGTACGATTCAATTCAATTCAATTATTCATCCTTCAATGACGCAACTTAACAATCTTGCATGGCGCGGCTGCTTCACAACGTTCCTCTCGAAGCTTCCAATATATGGAAGGACCGAAATGGCAATTGCCATGGCAACAGATACCGACCAGCAAATCGCCCTGCGAGGTTTTGATCGTCTGCGTGTTAGTATCTGGTTCTGTCCTGCTAGCAGGTATGGAAAGTCAGTGGCGCTACTTTCCCAGGGTCCAATGACCTTTTCACTGGCGGCCATTTTAGCGCCAAGATATTTCGGTGGCGCCCTCTTATGGTTTCCCTCCGTGACGTCAGGACTGGGATTGGCCTCGCCGTGACGTCACCAGTTGTTATCCTCGGTATACTTACCATCGGGGGAGACGACGAGTTCGATGGTGTGTTTAAAAAGCACAGTAGAAGCTAGGAGCCATCGCAATCCGAAACTAACACCGTCAAAGTTGACAATCTGACAGTGCTCATATGCCCATGGTTTGGCCAATCGTGGAAAGCTGACCACAGGGACGCTTTTGGCCGCGCACATCGCTAATAGCTCAGGCCTTGGCATGTTGAGAGCGAGATGGCGGCTTTAAGCCTCCGCGCAGTGTTTTTGCAACGTGTATTGCACACCATCGAGATTACCGGTCTTGGCAGCCTATATAAGTGTGAGCCTGTTCTGGGCACGCGCTAAAAAAACATCGGACTCAAATATGGCGTCCGGTAAATATACTTCGTGTAGACAAATGCAATCCTGGTGCCCCGTGACTGCATGGTGCCCCATGCGCGCAAGCACGTGCAGCGTGCGCGTGAAGTGCAAATTCGCACGGGGGCGTCCTTGCACGTGCAAGGACATGGCGGCAGACAGTCGCCCCGCTTGCAGACGCGTCTATGGTTCGTAAAATAAAATCAGTGATTTCGTAAATTAGACGGTTCCGCGTGCTTCGAATAATGAAATAGTGAGTCTCGGATCGTACGACGTCGTCAGGTGCATAAAATGACTTAGCCTTAATTTACTTGCGGGTATAATATAAAAAAAAAAAAGCTCCGCGTCACTGGTCGACTTTTTTTTTTTATTTCATGTTTTTTTTTTCAACACGCTTGACGAAATAATTATACCTTTCTGCTTCTCCAAAAAAAGAAAAACTTACCTTTCCATTTCAAAATATAATAAAAATTTATTTTTTTTAATAGAAAGTCTTACAGAATTCTATCGTGTGTGAGGAGTTTCGAATCGCAATCCCAACCGCATGCGTCGTGAAGTAACCCGTTCGATCGTCTTTCCGAGGAATAAAATGCGGAAACACGCATCCCAGGTAAGAGTAAAATCCCAGCCAAGGCCGTCGGGCACTGCAAATATTGGAATGATTTTCTTTTTCCGCAGACTCAGATACGGATTTCAGGTGGCTCGATACCGTTTTTTATGCAAGACACACTCTCCAACGCGGGAGCGTCCACACGATTATTGCAAGGAACAAAAGTTTTCCGGTTTGGTTTTCTCGCGATACCCGCCACTGAGCTGCCATATACCATTCACGCCAAGAAACAAAAAAAAACAACAACAACAAAAAAAAATGTCTACCTCCATTTTACCCAATCTTGCACACGTTACTAAAAAAAAAAATCGATCACAATTACAGTTAGTCTTGTTTACAAAGTATATTCAATTAGATTCATTGATTACTTGGCAAGAAAAGTAATGGGCGGTTACTTGAAAAAAGTCACCGTTACTTTTCCGATTACTTCAAATTTTCAAATCGAGTTTTTTTCTTCTTTTTGCCGGTTTGAAAGCGTTTTTTTTTTTTTTTTTGTACTGTTTATTATTGGATTAGGAAGACCGAGCAATAAGCTGCTTATCTTCTTAATCAATCAATTTTGGTAAAACCCTCCTCTTCCAATCGGACACTTTGGTTCGAGGATTTTGTGGTAGGAAACTTGCACAAACTAATAACTGTTACAACTAATTTTAGCACTTCCGAAAATACACATATATATTACCCTCGTGATTATTTTCTAATACGGTATTTTCCAAACTTACGGTAAATGTATTAGATTATTACTAAATTGCCCCGGAAACGTAATCAATAACGAGTAATTTGATTGGTTGTAATGAGTACCGCAGAGGCCTGATTTTCCCTTGCTCCATAACGCGGGCAGCACAACGAGATTACGAGGCAGATCTGTACCGGCGCAAAGTTATATGCAATATCGCGGCCTTCGTCACCTTCTGCACGTCTGTAGCTATCGCCGGCTATAAGCCAATCAAGCACTATAAATGCGCCATAATATTAAGGTTCTACTCTCTAAATATTAAACAAAAAAAGATAAACTGATGTAAGTTTACTTTTCTGCAAAACACAGAGGCTACCAATCACAGAGAACAATAGGAGGATCTTAGCGAATTATAAAACTCTTAACACGATTAAATCTAAAAAAAAAAAAAGAGATGCTCGCAAGTTCCGTGTGGCAAATCGGCGATTTCTTCTTATAAAATGCCGGCTGTCGCGCATATAAAATGTAATGCCAGTTTATATTAAAAATAAATGAATAAAAGAATACTCAGATTTCAACCTGCGTTGAACACGAAACACCGACGGGACCCAGAAGAGCTCACCTGTGGCTGCTTGAACCAGACCAACCGCCAGGACGACGCAGAGAAGTGTCCTCGTGATAGGGTGGCTCGACTGACGAACACCCGAAAACTTGTTCCACATCTTCAATGAATGTCGATAGGTGCCTGCAGATCGAAATCGTCGGCGTTGCATATGCGACCTAGATATACACTCTCACCGCGAAAACAGATCTCATTTATTCGTTACAATATTGCGTGTTTGCGTATGCGTAGCGATCGTTGCAAAACAAACGCTTTGCAACGATCGCATTTGGATGTACACTCGAAAAAAAGAAATCCAGTGCTTCTAGTTTTCCGCAAAGCTCTTGGTTGAGCCATCGCCGCAATTTTACAGTAGGCAGTACGGAAAGAAACTATAGGTAAATGACGAAATACAAAACACGTTTAGACATTAAAAAAAGAAAATACGGTCCATGATGTGACACTAAGCATGACATTTCAGGTGCTTCCGTCAAGCGACAGATCAACATAACCAAGCTTACGGAAAAGTTATCCTCCTTGGTACGATTTTTCACTGGTGTACGACGTAACACAAAGTCTTTGTCTATAGATAAGGAAACGTGGCCGCAGTCACACCGAACAAGACAGTTTTGAAGGATGCGTAGAGCCGGGGGAAAGTCTGAAACCCCCGGAATGAGAAACTGGCGAGCATGGACAGAGAGGATGCGTGGTCGTTTATCAGCTACACCTCCGTAGGATGTCGGTATCTCTTCTTCGTCCGCCGCCCTCTCTCTCGTTCTCTCTCTCCTCCCGTCCCCTAAAAAAAAAAGAAGAAAAAAAAAATCTTAAAAAAAAAAAAAAAGAAAAGAAAAAAAAAAGAAGGGAAAGTACGGATAGAAACTTGAGCACGAGCGGTAGAGCCCTTGAGCAACTTGTGCCATGAACAGATCTTTCTTTCCTGTTTTTTTATTTATTTTTTATTAAATGTATGCTGTTTGGAATAAGTGACAGAGCCGAGTTGAGATGGATTGATTATCTTCAAAAATGGTACTTGTCAAATGCTTCATCAAATTTCTATTCTGTTCGGTGTTTCTCTCTTTTTCTGTATGAGTTATGTGTTTGTTTGTACAGCGGGAAGGTTAGACCGCCTCAGTGCCGGCCTGCTAAAAACAGCGTCTCAGCTGAGACTAGGTGAAAGAAAGCATTGTCAAAGCCGGCGCTCGAGCTCCTCGCCTCAAGACACTCGAGCGCCCAGGTCTTTGCAGGGCTTCCTTTCACCCAGTCTCAGCTAAGACGCTGTTCTAGCAAGCAGGCCCTGGTGTCTCCCGCTGCAGTGGCGCGAGGCTTGAACCCTGGACGGTCAGGTGCACTCGCTCAGCGTACTCTCCGCACATGGTGGGAATAAAGTGTGGCCAGTCATAGCAATCTTAAGTTTTTAAAGAAAAAAGAAAAAAGGGGGAGAGTTTGTTATAAAATACCCTCTATCAGAGGCAACCCTCACATGTTTCGTCATGGACACTTAAGATGCTGACACTCGCTTACCCGACCCTGCACAGCCTGTTTCTCAAATTCAGCGCTGCCGTTCCATCCAGCGCGTCGCTGGAACGTCTTTTTAGCTCGGCTGGGAACGTCTTTAGGAGGAAAAGGGGAAAACTGTCATATCAAGAACTTTGAAAGTCAATTGCTTCTGCGAGCGAATAGACTATTTTGGTGAAAACGAAATCTATAAAATGACTGCATTCATTTTAAGCTCGAAGGGTTTTTAACGGATCAAAGTTGTTGTTAATTTTGCTTCCACAAAAATATAAAAAAATAACTTCGAAAGTAACTTCAAAGTAATTCACTACTTTTTTTACGTTAGTTAGTAGTTTACTCAATTACTATTACAAATGCGTAATTACCACTCTACCCCAATTACTTTTGGCGTCGATACTCAGTAACTTAACTACGTGTTTTTTTTTTGTAATTTGTACATATATATATATATATGTGTGTGTATCTGTTATGGCGTCGTCTCTAAAAACGCAGTAGCCATAAACCACAAATCGTCGGATTTTTTTGTGTATACATGTATATATATATATATATATATATATATATATATATATATATATATATATATATATATATATATATATATATATAGATATATATATATATACAAAATAAGTCAGATCCGTACTTGCGGAGTTGCTATGCTAGGAGTTTATTGCAACTCCGCAAGTACGGATCTCTGACTTATTACATTTTCCCGGTCCATTGTTCTCAAGCTACTCTGCCTCACCTATATATATATATATATATACTCATCGCAACAAAAAAAATGCTTGTGTCGTTTTGGTCCGGGGCCAGGGGCCTCTTCAGGAAAATGATTAAAGTCCGGGATAATTAAGTTGTTAATCATTTTCGCGTTATTAACTTTTTAATATTGTGTTTACGGGCATGGTGTCAATTAGAAAATTGCTCAGCATCGTCGAAATACACTAAATCAACAAACGGCAGAACGATAGAAGGCACGCGAAGCATTTTACGTCTTTCTGAAAAACCGCACAAATTAGACTGGTTTTTAAGTTTCGGTTTGCAATCGGAGCGCATCTCGGCCCCGGCGGCACCGCGCCCCGTGGAGTGATAGTGCAACCAACCTCTGCTGCACCGTAATCGCGCGACACAGCAGAGGTTGCTTGCACTTTCCCTCCACGGGGCGCGGTGCCACCGGGGTCGAGATGCGCTCCGATAGCAAACCGAAACTTAAAAACCCGTCTAATTTGTGCGGTTTTTCAGAAAGACGTAAAATGCTTCCCGTGCCTTCTATCGTTCTGCAATTTGTTGATTTAGTGTTTTTCGACGATGCTGAGCAATTTTCTAAAAACCATGCCCTTCAACACAATATTCAAATAATTAATAACGCAAAAATAATTAACAACCTGATTATCCCGGACTTTAATCATTTTCCTGAATGGGCCCCTGGCCCAGGACCAAAACTACACAAGCCTTTTGTTTTAGTGTTCGCAGGAGCGATTCGGACTCAGTTCTGTAAAACACCCAGTATATATGTATATATATATATATATATATATATATATAGGGTAGAATTTCAGGCATCTAGCATTGAGTTCTACCCACTATTTTCTAATCATAGCCAATCAGAGCTCGGCGTCGTTCTGACGTCACCGGAGCTCCTGTGCAAGGAGCAGACGACTTGCGCTCGTCATAGGTTCCATTTAGCCCTAACTATAGACCGTTCCATTAGGGTCATAGCAGAGAGTGTAAAAAAGAAAAACAATGCCCTTTCCCTCTCACCCGCATGTCGTCCGCTCCGCCGAGTGGGCTGTACCTATAGACCGTTTTATCGTGGGTAGCGCCATTTTGAGAGCGAGAGAGAAAAGGGGAAAAGGCTACCGGCGCTTTCCTCCTTTCTGATTGTGTAGAAAGAGTGGAAGTCACGGATGAGAGGCCTGGCCGGTGTTGGGCGTCTGCAGTGCCCCAACTTAGTTTGCGCTTTCTTCTATGTTTCAAACTCCCAAACTTAATTAGAGCCATGGTCTTTGATGACGGCAGTCCCCCGGTCATCGGGACACCATTGCTGGGTGATAGGGTGCACGAATAACGACAGAAAGCGTCGAATACTGTCTGAGGACCTATGTAGCTTGCATAGAATCCGGCAAGGCAAGTACGGCTGGAATGTTTTTAAGCTCCATTGCTTTCCGCATGACTGGAAATGATGAACCATTTATACATTTTTGCTGCAATGGGCCTATTTCAACGTAGCCGCTTTTAGTTGTAATCAACAAGCGATACACGAAACGGGAACCTCAATTAACTTTGTAAACGCCCGGAGCTGCTACATACCGTCTTGCTGTGCTGTTTTTATCTTCGTGTCCCTGTTCTTATATCTCCTTGTGAATGAACGACGAAGACGCTCTAGATGTAATTTTATCGAACCGCAAAAAGCCTCGAAGCAGCCACGAATTATTTTATTATTTGATGCAATATTTTGAGTGCTCACCTCCAATTTCTATAGCTGGCACGTTCGCTGCCGCTGTTCCCCCCGTCGCCACACTGGCGGATGCCATGACTCAAACAAAGAAACGTGCACACTTGGCTCGAAAACGCAAATCGCATCACACGAGACGTTCCCTCCCTTACAAAAATCTGTAATTAAATTCTTTCGAATTTTTGTTGAAAAATTTCTGGAGTCGTATTGAATTTCTTTTTAAACTTTTTTGATGTTTTTTTAGACTTTGTTTTGACAACTTTTTAACTCCTAGTTAAAATTGGCCACTTAAATTTTTTAGAATTCCTTCTTACATAAATTCTTTTGAATTCCTTCTTACATAAACTTTTTTTAATTCCTTCTTACATAAATTCTTTTGAATTCCTTCTTACATAAATTTTGTTGAATTCCTTTTGGCAAAACCGCAAATTCACGTTTAAAAAAACACTAAATTTTTTAATATATTTTTTTTAATTTCGTTAGGAAATAGTGTTTATTTAATACATACACATCCCACATATAAGCTATGTAAACAAACACAAACACCATCAAGCACTCAACACCAGAAACACAGTCCTGTTGACAGCACCAGAGCCTTATATAGCCTACATATCGAAGGTAATCATTTGGCCGGTGACCACCTCAGCACTTACTAAGTTTCCAAGTCTCCGGTCTCTTTCTCGAAAGTCTGTCAAAGGAAAGACGGTGTTTCGAAGTTTCGAAGTTCGTGGACTTTATCTCTTACTAAAAAGCATTGGTACAACTAATAATAATTTCGTGTAGTCGCTAAAACAATATCCACAAAAACGACTCATAGAACAAATGTTATCGCTTCTCTGCACAGTACCACTCGGGACGAAGCCAGTCAAGGCGGTTGCTCCACTTTAAAATAGTTATTTTGCTCTTTTTTACTAGTTGAATAGGGTCAATAATGCCGTGATAGTCATTTACAAAGTGAGAACGGCTAAGCGTGTTTTTCGGCCTCCAGCACGCGCCCCATGCCTTCCGTCGTGCTTTGACTGCGCAGTCGAGCTCGAGGGGCGCGAGACGTCGAAGAGTTGTCAAGGATGGAAGGCTCGCGCTGGAGGCAGAAGAACGGAAGCTCCTCCCTACGGTTCTCAACTTGTCAGAGACTATTGAGAAACTTAGTGACTTTTGACATTTAGTCAAGATGTATAATGTTCAATAAAAAGTCAACAGAAAGTCTGTAGCTTTTCTTTTGACACTGGCTACAGAAAGTCAACTGAATAATTTAAACACGAAGTAAATAGAACGTCTGCAGTATTTCTGATAACACTTTTAACAGGAAGTGAACAGAGAAAGATACAACGTAGAGTTAATAGAAAGTCAATAGCTTTTCTTTTGACTCAGGCAGAAGAAAATCATAAAAAAGTTCAACACAAAATGTACAAACTTTTTGTTGACCATGTCCACAGGAAGTCAGTCAAAATAAAGTAATCAAAGTGAACAAGAAGTCAACATATTTTCAATAAAAAGAAAAAAAAAAAACATCCGTCATATCGGACCCCGCACACGACCGCAGACCAAATAAAATAATAAAAAAATGTCTCTTTTTATAAAATATTATAAAAAATAATGTCAATAGGTTTTCTTTTTATTTTTTAGAAAATAACCTACAAAAAAGTTGTTACAACTTATTTTTATTTTTTTTATAAATAAGTCTACAAAACCAAATCTATTGTTTTTCCTTTTGAATTTTTTTAGAAAATAATCTACAGAAAAACG